TATTTTCATTCAGCATTATATTTTTCATGCCCCATGACAAACTGAGGAACAAACGTTGTCTTATGCTGATCTGGTACAGATTGATCTTAAGCAGTTAAAGATGTTTTCTATTAGTGGGACAAATGGTAGATAAAGTGTGAATCGTTTAATCCGATTCAGTCTGAATCAATTGAGTCGAATCTTTAAGATCTTCAAGATCCGGTTCATTGAAAATGAGCTAATAAACCATGATCGATCTTAAAACTTAGGTTGATCCCCTACAACATTAATGCATTAACATATGTCAGTAATATGTTTAGTTAACAATAAATATGATTAAATAATGTGTGCATGAAAGGCAGGGCTATTCAATTAGTTTGTCATGGGGGCCGGTTCATGAAAAGCATCCCTAACGAAGGGCCGGAGAGATAAGACTTGCTATATGAGTGATGACACAACAGCATATAAGAGCCCATATACTGTATATTTTTGCTCCTTAAGACACCCATATTGGCTTTTTCTACATTAAAATGTTAATATATTGTATTTTGAAACTACATAATATTACTGCTTTGTACAATAGAATTTTTTTTTTTTTTTACAAACATTCAAATGTTTTATTTCAGAGCACAACAAAAGTAGTGCATTGCTGAAGTAGGCTTCTTCTACATTCAGACACATTCATATGTTTGAACTGCATAACAATTATTGATGCAACAATTACAGATTTTGGTTGTACGATTATATAGTCTGAAGAATAACCATGGTTTCACTGTTATCACGTCTAATGTAAATTCAAGCTTTATATTAGGTAAGTAGCTATTTCGATTAACTGTTGTTGCCATCTGCATTCATGGAAACATAATCATTTTAATAATAATTTGTCTGACATATCTTTTGTTTAAACTGAAAGGCACGCACAACTCTCATCGTGGGATGTTTTCTACTGCGTGCGCCCAGAAAGACGCAAGGGCGTCATTCCGCTGGTGCCGGCATATTGTCATATATTCTTACATTAGAAATAACAAACTTGCAAGCGGAAAAGATGTGATATGGGAACGGCCGCTGCTATAGTCAATCCTGTGTGTGTGCGTATTAGCCTTGGTGTACTTCAAACTTAAAACTGGCGCACAAGCAACTTGGCATTTTGCAGCAGTTTCGTTTCATGCAACAAAAATGCAGCTTAGAGAAGACTTTACGATTAATAAACTGTGACGAATTAAAGCGCAGTTAATAGTAAAATCAGCTAATCGTTGCATCCCTATTAATGATATCAGTGCATTTTACAAATAGCCTTTTCTACAAACATGTTTTCGGCTGCCCGCACCACTCGCTTATGATGACTCACGCTCTGTGCAGTCTTTAACTGCAGCTCGTGCTGTTATTGAACAGACGCACGTAACTTCAAAACTATAGTGAACATTTGTCGACTGAATTTAATGTATTTTTGATGTCTTGGTCACACTGTTTGGAGGACTGGAACAAAGCGTCTCGGGGCCGGATTCGGCCCGTGGGCCGCCAATTGAATAGCCCTGTTTTAAGGCTTGGTTGTGTTAATAAGATGCAAAGCGATGTGTGCTCATGTTTCACTTGAAGTAAGTAATTAAGTAAGTAAAGTTTATTTATTAAGCACATTTACTTCAGTTTGGCACTGACCAAAGTGCTGAACAAAACCATAGCACACACTCTAAAAGAGTAAAAATAACAATAAAAGTAATAATAGGAATATAAGTATTACAGCAAGAACCACAATAAAGATTAAAAGCATGAATGCAATAGAATAAAAATGTGTCTTAAGTCTAGACTTAAAAATAGAGAGAGAAGAAGCACTTGTAATATCCGGTGGCAGCTGGTTCCACAAACGAGGAGCAGCGACTGCAAAGGCTCTATCACCTTTCAATTTAGGTCGTGACCGAGGAATTTGCAGTAAAATTTTATTTGAGGACCTAAGAGACCAAGGAGTTGACTCTAAGTTAATAAGTTCTGACATATAAGAAGGTGCTTGCCCATTCAGTGCTTTAAAAACAATAAGTAAAATCTTGAACTGACATCTAAAATTAACAGGAAGCCAATGAAGAGATGCTAAAACTGGTGAGATATGAGCATGTTTTTTGGTGCCTGTTAAAAGTCTAGCTGCCGCATTTTGAACCAACTGCAACCGTGCCAATGAGGATTGAGGCAGACCAACATATAAAGAATTGCAATAGTCTAGGCGGGACATGATAAAAGCATGTATGACCTTTTCCAGATCTTAAAAGGAAAGAATGGATTTGAGTCTAGAGATGATCCTCAGCTGATAATAACTATTCTTAACCACTGAGCTAATTTGTTTTTAATTTGTAATTTGTTTTTAAGAATCAAAGATAACTCATAGATTTTTTACTTGCGATTTAACATACGGTGTAAGACTTCCCAAGCCCCCAATATACGACATTCTTGTTTTTGAGGGACTGAAGAGAATAACCTCAGTTTTGTCATTATTAAGTTAAAGGACTTTTTTTGCCATCCAACATTTAATATCCTCAAGACAATTAATTAGAGACTGCAGGGAGTTCTGAGATTTTAAGGGAAAATACAGCTGAGAGTCATCTGCATAACAATGAAAAGAGATGTTATGTTTCCTTATAATATTACCAAGAGGAAGCATATATAAATTGAAGAGCATTGGACCCAGAATAGAGCCCTGGGGACACCACACAGAAGAGGGGCAGATGTTGACATAAATTGGCCAACAGAAACTGAAAAAGACCTGGATTTCAGATATGACTGAAACCATTGAAGTGCTGAACCCTTTATGCCCACCCAATGTTCCAGACGTGACAGAAGGATGATATGATCAACTGTATCGAAAGCAGAGCTCAGATCCAGTAAAACCAAAACCGCATTACTGCCTGAATCTACCGACAGCAGTAAGTCATTCAACACTTTTAATAGAGCGGTTTCAGTACTAAGGTGCATAGTGAAACCTGACTGTAAAGGTTTAAGTTTATGGGACGATTTTAAAAAAAGGCTGTAGCTGTGATAAGACAGCTCTTTCTAGAACTTTTGACATAAATGGAAGTTAAGAGATAGGACTGAAGCTATTTAAGCAATTTAAATCTGCATTGGGTTTTTTAAGCAATGGCTGGACAACTGCATGCTTTAAAAACGCAGGGACAGTGCCTGAAACTAAGCAGGAATTAATAATTGCTTGTATACTAGAATCTATTGTGTTGAAAGTCTCCTTTAAAAGGTTAGAGGAAATAGGATCACACGGCGAAGTTGAAGTTTTTGTCTGAAACACTAAACCCCTTAACTCAGAGGGAGACACCGGTTCAAAATTACAGAAGGTAGCTGAAGAAACTGTCGAGTCCACAAAGGAACTAGGGCAGAGAGGAGCAAAAGAAATCATGAAGGAAATCATGATATTTTTTTCATTAATCTCACTTTGATTATATACAGCTACTCAGCTAACATGAAAACAACTGATAAATTTCCTAGTTCATCTGAAAGGCCCGCCCTCAAGTCGTGTCATAATGTGCTGCGATTCACAGATCGGCTCCACATCACGCCCGTACAAGCACTCGCGTTTTGTGTAAACAGTCAGTTAACCTCATGCTTCCTCTCTAAAATAACATCTGACAAGTGTCTGTAACGTGTGAAATGGGGTGCGGCTCCTTTAAGAGAGTGTGTGTGTGCCATAGTGTCTGTGTTTATGTGTGTGTGTGTGTATGTATACCATGAACTATCTGTAAGACGAGAAGCGCATGTGTGCGGGAGCGATGTTTATTTTTCTTTTTCTCTCATGCTTGGATTAAGTTATTTTCTGTGGTGACAGAAGAATAAAGCACAAGATGTGGAATGCGACCTGTGTGAGCCTTGATTGATTTTTTATGCTGCTACACATCAGTTAGGAGTGATCTCCTGTATTTTTTTTAACTCAACGCGTTACACGACGTCTTTCACAGACATTCGGAATGTGCCTATGTAAGTAACATGAATCATTTACATATCTTTTGCAACTTCATTATACGAGACGTTAAAACGCATGGATAAGTTGCCTATAGAGAAACAATGCAAAGTCGCGCACACACAGAGAGAGGCTGCACGTGCCAATGAAGTGTGTGTGTTTACAGCAGTTTGACTGATAAATATGAAATTGTAGCTAAATCGTTAGCGGTGGCGAACATCATTTCCCATTGTTTACATCTTTGCTACAACATACCGTTAAGGCTAGACACTGTACATGTCATGATCAATTTTAACAAATTAAAACACTTACAGGTCGTGGCTAAGAGTTCAGTGTTTGCTTGTAGATGATCCATCTTCGAGAAGATTTTAACTGAATCCAGAACTGAACCGGAGGAGATTCTGGAAGCTGTTTTGTCAAACATGCTTGCTATGTATATTATAATTATCTGGAACATAATTAATATTGAACTGTAAGCACTTCTGTCTTTGTGTTGTGTCCTTTGGAAGCCCAAACACAGAAACAGAGAAGCTCTGTGGAAATAGCAGGATGGCATTTTCTCTCTCTGCTGTAACATTACAGAGCCTCTGGCTACGGCCCTTAGCTGCGCAGTGTGTGTGTGCGCGGTAAAAGTATTTTGTGATCTCACACGGGCCGGAAGTATTTTTTGTAGTCCCCAAAATTCGTTCTTTGTAGGCTTTGCTAAGCTAACTCTGTAAAAACCAAGGTGTCTGTTTGCATTAAAGCATTTTACATTCAGAAATGCTGTTTACAATCACACAGCTACATTACACATTAACTATAATTTAAAATTTGATATCGTAGTGGACCACCCCTTTAACTAATCTTCACATCTGGGGGTTGTTCTCATTGAATCAGTATAGAGTAAATATACACATCCATACCAATTTCTAAATTTGATGAACACAATATACAGTAGATAGAAAATATAGATCTTGCAACCCAAAAAGTCTTAGTACTAATTAATTGATAAGCAAACTTAAGCTAAAACTTTTAAAACTGTAACACAGTGGCAAATGTCCCAAAAAAGATAACAAATATAAATGAATACCATAGACCAAATGATGCCTTGTGGTTTAGGGTGTTTACATTCAGTCTTGATGACTCTTGTTGCTGTTATAATAAAGTCAACCATGAGGTCATGTCTTTCAATGAGTTCCTCTGGAATGTCCATCACCTAAACACAGAAAACAGATAAAAAAATAATACTGGATATAATTACAGTGAATTTATGTATTTGACTCACTCACTCACTCACTCACTCACTCACTCACTCACTCACTCACTCACTCACTCACTCACTCACTCACACACACACACACACACACACACACACACACACACACACACACACACACACACACACACACACACACACACACACACACCTTTTATACTATTTACACTTTTAAATATATTTTTTAAATATTTACAAATGTATATATATATATATATATATATATATATATATATATATATATATATATATATATATATATATATATATATATATATATATATATATATTTATTTATAAAGTGAAAGCAGTACATTATTTTCTTAGCCAAGTTAAGACCCATCTGAAATTTTCTCATGCTTCCCTATGCTGACCAGTTTTATGGAGATAATGATATGATTTACCAGCAAGACTAACAAACTAAAAAGTACCAATACTTGTTTTAAGGACCATTGTATCCCCGTGTTTAATTAGCCAGCAAACATGCTGGACCTGAACCCCATACAGAATCTATATAGAGCATTATAAAGAAACATATGAAATAGCAGTCCCAACAACTCAGAAGTGCTAAACACTGCTATCAGAGCAACCCGGGCTTCCATGACAACTCCGCACAACTGATCGGTACCATGCCATGTCACATTGCACAAGTAATGTGTAAAGTAAAGTAATATATATATATATATATATATATATATATATATATATATATATATATATATATATATATTGGTCTTAGATAACATAAAAAATTTTCTGAAATGTTACTGAATTTTGAGTTTTTATTAGCTGTACATCATAACCATCAATATTAAAAGAAATAAACGCTTGAAATATGTGTAATGATTTTTTACTAGTGGGTTTTGTTTAGGGTTATTTAAATACTGGTGCTAAATCAATACTTTTAAAACTGCACCAGTGCCAAAATGTAGCCTGAACTAATACTTTTGAGCCACAAAATTATGGTAGATGACTCTAGAAAAAAAATGTATTTGACAAAAAAATATTTTAATCATTAAATTATTTTTTTAATTTTAATTGACCAATATAATTTAAGTTAACATCAATTCATATTTTATATATTTAAATTGAATTGCATTAATATATTTACTTTGATCATTAGTTTTTAGCATGAATTTAAGATTTGCATTATGTAATTAAGATTACATTAGCTTACTTACTACTTGGGGCTTACAGTAGCATACTTACTACATAGGGCTTGTGACTACGTATACATGGACATCCGTAATCTAATTATTTGCCTTAATCTGAATAAGTCAATGATATGATGAAGGTGTTTACATGAGTTGCTTTTTGAATGTTCCTTTCAGGATTCCATTTTACATGTTATAGTACAAAGATCGATTAATGTCATCATTGTGTCCCCAAGCTATCCACATTTCCTCCCGAGTTTCATGGAATTTTGAGTGTTTCATTTTTAATTTTTCGACATTAGCTGCAGTTTGGCAGTTTTACCTTTATTCAGCAACATATTGTTCATACCTCATGACAAACTGAGGTATTAGATGTAAATATGAAGTAAAGTCTGGTGGAAGAGTGTTGTTTTTAATTGACTTTGATACCACACGCAGAATGAAAAGAAAAAAAAAAAGAATTTTGTGACAATGGGTGTCTTTGTTCATTTAAGGTAATCAAATCCGCTGTTTACATGGTAGACTCATACTCAGAGTATTGTCTTAATCATGTTAAAATCGGAGTATTGATGTCCATGTAAACTTACTCTGTAAAAGTGCCAGATGATGTCGCAAGCTTTCAAAGGCAGTGCATTGCACTGCCTTTAAGTTGATTTCATGAGCCCTCAAATGTTTTATTAAGTAAGCAACAAGGATAAACACCTAACTTCGCCGCTGGTGTTCGTATTCTTTAAAGTTGTTTAGAATTAAATGTTTAGAGATGGTGTGACAAAACGTGTACTTGTGTGCCTTTGATTTATGCCTTTGATGCTTTTTAGGTCCTTGTTGCAGCACCAGTGGCACCGAAATCGATAATATGCTGATTCAATCCGGTGCATACAGGTTACATAGGTACTATTTTAGTACCCAACCCTTCTAATTACTTAAATAAACTTTTCAATGATATTGTAATATTTTTTAGATGCACTAGTGTTGGTATATAAACTGGGGGAAATAAGTATTTAACATTGTTTTTCCTATGAATAATATTTCTAAAGGAGCTGTTAACATAGATTTGAACCAGATTATGGTAAAAAAACAAACAAACAATACAAACATAAAAAATAAAAAAAACTAAGAAAATCTGAAAAATGAGGTTTGTGTAATAACAATGGAATGACACAAGGAGAAAAGTACTGAACTTCTGAAATACAAAAGGCTTTTGGGCTGCAAGGTGTCGCAGTGGGTAGCACTGTTGTCTCACAGCCAGAAGATCACTGGTTCGAGCCTCGGCTGGATCAGTTGACATTTCTGTGTGGAGTTTGCATGTTCTCCCCATGTTCATGTGGGTTTCCTTCAGGTGCTTCGTTTTCCCCCAGTAGTCCAAAGATATGTGGTATAGGTGAATTGGGTAAGCTAAACTGTCTGTAGTTTATGTGTGTGAATAGGTTGTAAGGGTGTTTCCCAGTGATGGGTTGCAGCTGGAAGGGCACCCATTGCGTAAAGCATATGCTGGATATGAATAAAAGGTGTTTTTGGTAATGGCAGCTTAAAGATGTCACTCATTTGGAGAATGTAGTAACATGTATTGCTAATGTGTGATTTGTTTCCACAGACTTCAACAGAGTGGAAAAATCTTGATGGTTCTGTTGGTCTCGCCTGTCAGATCTAATCTTTATTTTGTGTTTTCTTTTGATTTCAAGTCAGGTAATTGGCTGGGCCTTTCTACAGCTTGGTTATCTTTTTTCTGAAACCATATCCTTGGCTGTGTTTTGGATCATTGTCTTGCTGAAATGTCCATGCTAGTTTCATCTTCATCATCTGGGTAATGTAGATGTTGGACAGAAGCAGCAAACTTACAGCTAATTTGCAGCTAGTTTGCAATGACAAAGGACAGTGCTGCGATTGTCAGCTGTGTTTTCTCCGGTGGAGATTAGTTTACATTTTACATTTACATTTAGCAGATGCTTTTATCCAAAGCGACTTACAAATGAGGACAAGGAAGCAACTTACACAACTATAAGAGCAACAATGAATAAGTCCTATTGACCTTATTCTAAAATGCAGAAGTGCGCCTGTTTTCGCGATTGTCTTAGAACTTCCGATTCAGTCGCCTATGGGAGAAATGACTAGGAATAATAATCGGCAAAAAACGGTCAAACTACTTGCTCTACAAACAAATGTTTGCATGACTATACAGACCAAGTAGTATAATATAACAAGAAAATATCAAATTGCAACATCAAGCAGCGTAATAAGCAGTTTTTATTGTCTAAAAATGAATGGAAGTGAATGAGACCGGAAGTCTCGAGCCAAAAAGATTCAAATGGCAGCGCCCACTCGTCAGCAGAGAAAAAGGTCAATAGGCAAGTTTCAGGTCTGTAAAGTCTAAGAAGGAAAGTATTAGTACTTTTTTTTTTTTTTTGGTACAGTTAGTGTGATATCCAGAGAGGCAATTGCAGATTAGGAAGTGAAGTGGACACTAAATTGTTGAGTTTTTAGTTTCTTGAAAATAGCGAGTGACTCTGCCGTTCTGATGCAGTTAGGGAGTTCATTCCACCAACTGGGCAGATTGAGCGTGAGCGTGAGCGTGAGCGAAAGTGATTTCTTCCCTCTTTGGGATGGAACCACGAGGCGACGTTCATTCACAGAAAGCAAGTTTCTGGAGGGCACATAGATCTGCAGAAGTGAGAGCAGATAAGAAGTGCAAGGCCAGAAGTTACTTTGTAGGAAAACATCAGAGCTTTGAATTTGATGCAAGCAGCAACTGGCAGCCAGTGCAAACGGACTAGCAGGGGAGTGACATGTGCTCGTTTAGGTTCATTGAAGACCACTCGTGCTGCTGCGTTCTGGAGCAGCTGAAGAGGCTCCCAGTACTTCTAATAAACTTCAACTCCCAGAACCCTTTGCACTCCTCACAGACTCATTTTAGTCAACACAGACACAGCTGTAGCTTATGACAGACTGATTACATGGTTTATACACCTCACTTTCACAAATCATTCTTGTTTGATTTCCTGTGTTTTGATTATTGCCGTGTTCATCATTTTGATTTTTGTCACCTAGCCTGAACTTTTGCCTTTGTTTTGACTTTGTTTATTGGATTACCTTCATGCTCCTGTTTTATGACTTTTGCCTATACGACCTTGCCTTTAATTAACTGCATTTGGATATGTACGTCCGTTGTGAGAGTCTGCTTTGTAACAGAAAACTCTGCCACAACATAGATCCAGCGGTTTTATTCATTTGTCTACACCAAGGTAATCGCTCCCTCAAGAATCACATCCAGTGTATTTAAACCTTGCTAACATCACAAATTTACCGGAGTGTATGCTCATTGACTTTATGTACGGTGAACTTTTTTTTATGCATGCCATGACAAATGAAAAGAGCACACTCACATGTTAGTTCTCAAGGTACGCTATTGGAATTTTTGGACTATGCACTGCTGTCTGTGGGCTCATCCTTCATCGTTGTACAGTAAGACCAAATGGTCGCCAGGATAACTCAACAACTTTCTGGCTGCTGACCCTTGATGCTTCTTACGTCCTTGTTGCAGCACCAGTGGTACCAAAATTCATATGCTGATTCAGCACAGTGCATACCGGTCACATAAGTACATAGGGTTTCAGTACGCAACCCTACTAATTACAAAATATAACGTTTTTGATGATATTATATATTTTTTTGAGATTCAGGTGACTCCCTCACATCAACTAGTTGACAAAATGGTTGCCAGCAGCACTCAACAACAAGACAAACTGGCTTGGATAAAATAGCTGTCAACCACAGTCAAGACCTGATGGC